TGGTCAAGTACCGCTTACATTTAAAGCAATAATTTTTTTATTGAAGGTTTATGGCACGCTTGCAAGATCTTTAGGCCAATTTAACCAATCAGGAAGTAGTAAAACGTTTAAATTAGAACACTACCACCAAGGGCAAAACAAAAATCGCTAACATAATTCACAGCATAGAATAACAATAATAATAATTATTAATACAAAGATCGAACACTTCGATAACATTCCTTCGATCCAACTGGATTCGAACCGACGTCTTCTAGCAAACCGTGTCAGACGCTATGCCAACTAAGCCACGGAACGAACCAGCGGACCTCACGATTTTTTCTATGTGCTTGTTTTTGGATCTTTGTATTTGGTTTTTCAACGACTTTTTAGTCGTACCGCCATCTATGAAAAATCTATGAAAGTATTTCGTCTCACGCGTTCGATTTTTGTATTAATAATTATTAAAAACTATTGGACTAATTTCACAAAAAATAATTGAATATGAATTCAATAAGAACTTAATAATGTGCCAGACAACTACACCAAATATCTGTTCTCAAAACACCGTAATTTCTTGTAATATGAGTACTAAAGCAAACGAAATTGCCTCCGGGGCACAATGCGGAACACCCAGACCAGAAGTAATTTAAGTTCACTTCGTGAATGTTTTACCGGAAATCAAACCCAGGACTTCCTTATCCAGGACCCAAAGTCCAACCACCAACTTGAGCGACGAAGGTTGTCACAAGCAACAAGAGCGATTCCCCCTCCCGTCCCCGTGCCGCTAGCCGCTAAAGAGCGGTCCGGCTTGTGCGGTCACACTATATCTAGTTAATCCTTTTCAGAACAACAAGAAAAAGACACCCCCAAGAAAGACGAAACTGAAGAAGAAAAGACTACTCCTCCCGCCTCCCCCCACCCGCCTGAAGAAGAGATAACGCCAATCAAAGACTTAAATATGAAGAGTAAAGAACTATTAAACAATAATAAAGAAGAATGTTCGCCAGAGAATAATTCAAAAGTTGATAAGGACAGTGTCATGGGGGATGACGTATTAAGTGATTTGGAAAGCGAGGGGACACAGCCGGAAGAGGTAAGCTACTGAAACAAAAAAGCCGGGTTTTTTTAGTAATTATTATATGGATTTTATATTATACTGCAATATACCTATACCTATTTCTGCCAACAAGCAGTAATGTGGTCGACATTATGGTCCCTTTTAAATTAGTAGAGAGTAGAATACTAATTTGTTGCTGTTCAGATGGCGACCACATTTGCGAACAATTATTATAAGAAACGGACCTGACGCATGCATTGACACTTTTTAATAATCCATCACTAAATCGCTCTGAATCATATAAATTTGTTCTGTTCAAACATAGACACAGCCAAGCGGGTAATGACCAAACGTCACTTTGACACATCAGGTGACTGGCGATGATACACTAATAATTTTGTATATTTGTCTATTATTTTTGTTTTTTTTTTAAATTAATCAGCAGTTTTTGTGTAATTGTTGTTTTTTCTCTCTCTATCGGTCATTCTCGGATTAGTGTTCACTACCTAATTTCCGTGGCAATTTTTTAAATTAACCATTCGATTTTTTTATCGTGCAATATTATTTAATATTCGAGTATTGTGTAATAAAATATTATGTAATAATTACACAATAATATACTTAAATATTGTGCAGTTAAAAGTTTCGTGACTTGTATATTTAACTGAAATTGGTCACATGTAGTACAACACGATTAACTGTCGTCCATGACTTTTTTTAACGTTACGGCGACAGACTGTCGTGATAATGGGGAGGGCTAGAACGACAGTCGTCTGACGATAAATAAAACGTCACGACAGATAATCGCAGCTTCAAACGATACTGTATTGCAAACGACAAGGCGGCTACCGGGAACCGATAAACCGATAAATTCCACGCGACAGTCGTCCGACGATAAACAAAACGTGACGACATATTGGGAACGCACCCTAACAGATAACGTAACGGAGATCAGTTTATTTGTAGTAATTTTGAAATCTTTCCTTTCCAGGATGAAGACAAAAACCTGTCATCGGAGGAGCTAGCCAAGAAGTTAGAAAAGTTGTTGCGACAATCGGAACAACAATTACAGCAACTAATTGCTGGACTACACGCCTTAAGAGCCACATGCTACGGACAAGATCGGTAAGCCAACTTACTTTAGTAAGACTGTTACTGTTGAAGTAATTTATTCCATATTTAATAATAATAAATCTTTATTGAGTCAATGCAATTACAAGGTGTCTTTAAATTACGTGACATTATTATACGAGGAACTATTTGAATTTTGAATATTGAAATAAATTTCTCGCAGATGGCGCTACGGCATAAAAAGTCATTAAAACCAAAAACTAGATCTGAAACAAGTACATAGAAAAATTCGTAAGATACCCTGGTTCGTTTCGTGGCGTAGTTGGTATAGCGTCTAGCACGGTTTGCTATAAGATGTCGGTTCAAATCGGGCCGGATCGAAGAATTGTTTTATAAAATGTTCGATCTTGTGCAATTTCACGAAAATGTAATTGAATATTGTGGTAATAAAATATCGTGACATTCAATAAAAACTAATCAAATTTGAATATTGAAGTTTAGCCCTCGGACATGTTTTAAATAAAACTGCATGATATACGCTACCTCTTCCAACGGATTTAATTTACAAACATTTATCTACTACTTTGTGTACTGTATTAAACCATATACATTTCATTATTGTTCGCGGGTTTTATCCCGGAAGATGGTTTAAATCATTATCCATAACTATATCTTACATTAAAAAAGTATGGTCGATATATGTAACCAATATTTACTAAATTTGTATTCATAATTTTCTCGAAGTTTTTTTTATATTAAAAATAAGGCGCATTTGACCTCCATCTCAACTGATGGAAAGTGATGATGAGGTCGACGATGTAGCATACACACCTAAATAATGCCTATTCACTCTCGCCTTGAAAAGGTCCAAGTTATAATGTTCGGGGAATACGTCATGCCCTATAAATGTGGAAACGCAACGTTTCGTGCGAATCTTGGGAATATCCACAACATAGGGGTGGATTCCCAGCCCACGTCTAGTCCCCCGATGATGAAAAGGAGTCCTCTCCGTGATATATCCTGTAGAATACCCATAAGCAGGTAACTTTACGTCGGTCTTCAAGGCTCTGCAGCCTATAAGCCTTGTGGCACGCTTGTCGATTGAATCCAAGGTGACCAGTTGATATTTAGCAGAGCCATCCCATAAGTGACAGCAGTACTCCATACACGACCGGACTTGTGCTTGGTACAGCTGAAGCAACTGTCCCGGTGTGAAGTAACGCCTCACCTTGGACGGGATGGCAAGCTTCCTGGCCGCATTTTAGGCCATGGTCATTTTCGTCATGGCCAAGTATTGAAAAGAAAAACCGTGGTAGCCTGTGACGATGCGACCTCGTTCATCATAATCCTATCTTTTTATCACCCTTTTCTCTGGTTCCTGGTTATTTAGTATTAAAATGTTGAATAGTTTTCTAATTTTTCTTCGCCATTCTTACTTTGCTTCGTGTCGTCACTGCATAAAATATTCTCGAGGCGAGCGAACGTGCTCAGCAATATATTACATACGAATACAGGCCCTTTTGGGCCTGTCCTTCCTTTCTTCTTTCCTTCAACTTTTCCCTACCTTCTACAACCTAATGGTTTGACCTCCGCCTCTCGAGCAAAGAGCCGTGGGTTCGAATCCGTACTTGTAATTCTGAGTTTCGGAATTTAATTTAAAATTTACCTTGAACTTTTCGGTGAAGGAAAACATTGAAAGTAAACGTCTTCAAAGCAATCTAATCTTGTGTGTCTGTCCAAGTCTCATTGTTAGAGCAGGCCTATGCCCAACAGTAGGACGATCTAGGCTACCATTATTAATTTTCTTAAATATCGAATAAACTAGGTTTTCTGGTGTACAATTTTTTTTTTCCACGCAGATACTGGCGACGATACTGGTCTCTGGGCAAATGTGGTGGTATCTTCGTAGAAGCCATGGAGTCTGCACAACCCGAGATCATGCAGTACCAGCAATCATTAGAGTCAGCTGTTAAAGAAGCCCATCTGCCCGACACGGGCAAGAAGAAGAAGAAAGGTAAGAAGAAAAGTAGATGTGTACCCTGAGGAACTCCATTGCTATAAGAATAAAAATAAAAATTTTGTTAAGAACATTAGGATAACCTTATCTGGTAAATCTATATTAAAAAGGAGCACAAAACGCTTCCAAGATATCCCAGTTGCGACATATACTGGTAATATAAATAGAAAAGTTAAGGGATTAGAGTTATGCGCTGGGGTACTCCTTTGTAGAATCGTGTACAAAAAACTTGAATATATGAAGAATAACCAGAGAGAAGAAACATGTTGGTTGGAAGTTCCCTAAAGTTCAACTCGAACTTTGGGGAACTTCCAAACAACATGTAGCCTCTTTGGAGCCTTGACCTTGATGATTTAGTGGTTACCCATAGTACAGGAAAGGTCCTGAAATTTTTAAAATTTATATTATATTCTATTCTGAAATTTTGCCTAGTAAAATGATGTCTTGTATGTTATACACTATACGTACTTCTTATAATAATCAGACAATCAACAAGAATCCCAAAATAATATTGCAACTTTCTCGATTAAACTAAAATTATAAATATTTTCACAAGGTCGAGAAAAGAAAGAAAAAGAACCTCAATCAGAACCCAACAAGGAAGAAACAGAAGCTCTCAAGAAAGAAGAAGCTCTTAAAACTGAGATGGAACTCAAGAGCATCAAATCTGAACTCAATTTGAGCGACCACACGCAGATTATCAAATACGAGCCCAACGTCAAACATGGCGCTTGTAAAGTAGAAGGTGAGTTGAGACGATTCTGCTGAATTTCTGCTGTTATTTTTTTTATGATACTAAGTGACGGGATGAACAAGTCGTGCGCCTGATGGTGAAGGACACACCTACCCATAACAGTTGCAGTGCCACTCAGGACTTTAAAACACAAAGATCTGAGGTGCACTGCCTTTGCGCCTGTCACACTGAGACATAAGTTGAAAAGTCCCATGTGCCTGTGATTTCACCAGCACCCTTACCCTTCAAAACTCATATTACTGCTTGGTGTCAGAAATAGGTAAGGTAGCAGTGCTTCCCTGGACGAACTCTTTCACAAGGATCTCCACTTTTACTAATGACGTAATCTTTGTGTGACGTCATCATGTTTCTTTTTAGTCTTTTAAGTAGTGTTATTATAATATCAGTATTTTCGATTGACATAAATTGCCATTTGATATTTGCGGCAGGTTCAATAAAAATGGAAGAAAAGTTCATTCAGCAAAAACAAAATAAGGAAGCCGAGGATATGCTTGATATTGAAGATTCTATACCAACGGCTTTTCTAGTACAAAAACCAACGCACACTCCAATGTACGCAGCTCAAGCCGAACCCGTTGACAAGCCGCAAGAAATAGTCAAAGTTGAAAATAATTTAAAAGAAGAACTTCCAGAAGACAAAGATCAGTTAGTCAACAATTTAGAGGAATTAAGAAAAATGGCAGAAGCAGTATCTTCACAATTAGAAGCTGAAAAGAAAGCTGAAGAAACCAAACTTAAAGAAGAACCTTTAGACTTGAAAGAGGAAACTATAGATGTTAATTGCGCTCACGAACATCTATATAGGAAGATTAATGAAGGAAAATGGTTCTCGATATTACGTCACGAAACTTCTTTCTTGAGTAGCATCAGTGATGTCGAGAAGAATAGTGACAAGCCTCCAGAATTTTGTGATAACGAACATACGTGTTCTGAAGTTATATTGTGTCAAGGACATAAATGGGATGTGTCAAATAATTTACACTTATTGAATGATCCGTCACTTTTTACTTTAAATAGTATGGTCACAAGTGTGCAAGTGCCGTCGAACAATATTTATCATGATTCGAGTTTGACTATGTCGGGTTTGGAGCAGGAAAAAATGGATGCCAGACTGAATAAAGATAGACTGATGGGACAGGATATGGAAGTTGAAGAGGAAAGTAAAGAACAGGTAAGGTTTTATTACTATACTATACGTGTTATAACTTTGAAAGATAGATGGCGCTGCCAAAAGAAATGTCATCACTTTTTTTATTAATATTTTATTTAGGCATTGGCTTTTAGCCAAAAGGGTTTGCAAAAGTTATAAAATCAAAACATAAAAAAACTTGAAAAAGGTACACAAAATAGAAATGGCTGTTTACAGAATATTTTGAGTGGTTTGTGTGTAAAGGAATCACATTCTTGTTTTTATTGTAAGACAAAGTGCGTATTTGACCTCCATCACAGGACGATGAAGCGTGAACACCGAAATAATGCCTATTCACTCCTGCCTTGAAAACGCCCAAGTTACAGCGTTCAGGGAACAAATCTGCAGACAGCGAACTCCAAGCCAAACAATGCTGCACACTGTATAAATGTAAAAACGTAACACTTCGTGCGAATCTTGGGTATATCCACAGCATAGGGGTGGAACCCCAGGCTGTGTCTAATCCCCCGATAATAGAAAGAAGATGGCGGAATGATTTTAGGCAATTCCGTCGCACACTGTCAGCGATATATACTGGGTGTAATCGTTATGTGTGCCCAGACGATTTTTCCATGAATCTTTAAACTTTAAGCTGACATCGAAAGTGCGTTCGTTACCTAATGAGTAAAACGACATATATCAGTTTCAAACAACTGCTTCGAATACAAAATGATGTACGTACTGAAAAATAAACATCACTTTATTTTTATTCAATTAAAAGATAGTTTTGTTACTTTATTTATAGTAGTTTCGTCGCCTGTAAACCTATTGTTGCCTCTTAAAGTAGGTTAACTAAAGCCTCTACGAATTTCATACAAATATAAATGAATGGACGCGTTTAAAGTAAACAATTTGGAATATTTGTAATATTATCTTTAAAAATTATTGAGGTCGTTCTACTCATTAGGTAACGTTCTTTCGATATCAGTTCAAAGGCTTTTGATATCTCGTATGTTTACAGAATAATCGCCCGGGCACATTTAATGATTACACCCTGTGTACTCACTTTCTTATTAATAGTATTAGTAAAGCCATTATAAATATCTATGTAGCATACTCATTATTCTTAACAGGAAAACGATCTCGAAAAGGAACTACAAGAAGATGCCCAAAAATACGACCTGTTGACGCAAAAGGCAAAAGCAAATAGCCTTACAAGTTTAGGCGTTTTGAACTTCAACGCTTTGTCTACCTATGTAACATGTGACAGTCCACCGCCCATACAAATGAGTCCTGAAGAGCTGGAACAGCTGGAACATTGTAAAGTGCATGGACTGCCGAAAAAAATTGAAGGGAATTTTGTGCCTAAGGAGCTAAGGTTAGTACCGTTTCGATCTGTAATTTTTTGACTTACAGGTAAATTCTGGAAGTTTAAAAGTGCTCATTTAAGATATATAATAGCCCGCAAATTTTGTTTCGCTATTCATCTGGGCGCTAATGTTGAGAGAGCTAAAGAGAAATAATATTGACCGTACGGTAGGCAATTTAATTGGATAACGACTGCTGCAAAGTTATAAATGTTCTTTATGTTAAAAAAAAATAATTTTTTTTTTATGAAAATAGTGACAGACATAACATATCAACAATACGAGGAATAAAAATAATCTACATAGCTGTTCTTCACAGTCGTCTTCACAAAGTCTGTAATTCATTTAAGGATGTACAAAATTTGCCATTTACGAGGTTTACAACTATAGTGAAACAAAAACTTTATACTAAATATTATTATAAAGCTTCTGCGTACTTGGATGACTTTTTTTATATCATATTTTTTTATGTAAAGTGACAGGATGTGCAAATCGTGCGCCTGATGGTAAGCTACACGCCTGTCCATAACAGTTGCAGTGCCACTCAGAGCTTTCAATCGCAAAGATCTGAGGGGCACTGCCACAGCGTCCGTCACCTTGAGACATAAGTTGACAAGTCCCATGTGCCTGTAATTTCACCACAGTAATGCTGACATTACTGCTTGGCTTAGAAATAGCTAAGGTGGCAGTACTTCTCTGGACGTCACAAGGAGCTACTAAACTACTACTACTAAATCCGTAGTGACCAGTTTAGCTCTTGCAGGCAGTCTCGATTGAAGATGTTTAAATTAAATATTATAATGATAAATGCATTCAAATGTATATTTACAAAGAGCAACCCTTAGAGTTTCTTGCTCATTCTTCTCAGAGGAATTTGCCTTACGAATGAGCAGTAGAGTTTAATCAATATGACGATTTCAAGTGTAATTTGCTTATCTGCATGCACAGTGAAATAAGAAGAAAATATTTAAAAAGCAAACATTTTCAGACATGGCTGGTGGCGCATCACAGACTCTGACCAACTGAAAGAGCTGATGGATACTTTACATCCGCGAGGAGTTAGGGAAAGAGAGTTGCATGCCGCATTGGTTCAACATATACCCATTATCAATAACAAGGTAATGTCCAATATTCCTGGAAATAATACCGCTCTCCTAAATAGTCTAGCGTAAATCAGTCACTCTATCGTTCGTGATCGTGTGTGATTACCTGTTTGAAGTTTTTTAAGCTAACGTCTTGCGATTTCTCGTGTTCCATTTTGTTGCAACGGAAAGAGCGTCCGTGTAAAAGGCAACCTTGGAGTGCACTGACTGATGAATGCGATCGCGCAGTCTTAATAGTGCTAAATTCTTTATTACCAACCTTAACTGGTAATAAAGAATTCAGTCGATAAAACAGACAAACAAATTAGTTTAAACGATTTTAAAGAGATGGCGCTACGATGCTCCAAATTCAAAAAGCGGAAAAAACTAATTCCATTACACTCACTCCGCATAAAATTAATCACAAACACCACCACCTAAAATATACCCGATAGTGTTCCGCCTCTTTTCTAAACGACTTCAAAAAAAAAACGAGGAAGACCTTTCTCGTTTAGATTGTATTTTTTATTTGTATGTAAGTCACGCAATAACTCGTGCATTTGTGAACCGATTTTGATGATTCTTTTTTGTTGGAAATAGGGTACCTCAGTACTGATCCCATTTATATTTGAAGAATATATTCCACCTCAAAGGTGACAAACTAGGGGATGAATCCGGTTTCGCGCACTTTCCGGTAACCGATTTCAATAAGACTTGACTAATCTTTCCACACGCGCTCAATCGCACATGTTTGCTGTGATATTTGTAAGTGATGTGTCACTGATGAGTTACCAGGAATGTATGGCCCTTATTTTGTCTCTATTTCTGGTTACATAATCTATAATAATAACGCGCACACACCATACCCCGCACTAAGTAAACCCGGTATCGCGGGTGCCATGGACACACGTAAACAACCACAAGTTACACACATACTCACGAGAGAAATAAATGTAGGCCATAAAAATACTTCTCCCGGCCCGGGAATCGAACCCGGGACCTCTGCGTGGCAGTCCAGCATAGTAACCGTTCGACCACAGAGGCAGTTATAATAATATATTTCATCTCCTTCTATCTGCATGAACTTTTTGATAATTCGGCATGTATTTAAAATTATAGCTTTTTGTAAAGTTTTAGTATATTTATAATTGTATTATAAGTATAATTGTATATGTCCTTTATAACTTGTGTTTCATGTATCTTTTCTTTGTGCAATAAAGAGTTATTATAATTTGAGTACATTGGAGACTTTGCGCTTGATGCAGCCGTGCCAGATTTGTGTAACCTTGTTTCTCTATTACAGTTGTACATCGATAAAGGCGACAGTCTAGCATCAGAACTGTCTCTATCACACCTGGACAGAGTGATAGCGCAAAATGGCGGGTATCCGTGCCCGGACGCGCCAAACTCATTCTCAAGTGTTACGCAGTGCCGCGTCGATGTACAGATATTACAACAGGTATATTCTAAACTATAGTATACCAATGGTTATTGATATTGATTGATTGATAAGATTGGATATTTTTAAATAAAAAAAAACTCTTTATTTAATGTTGTGTTGTCTATGATCAGTTTGGAATGGAATGGAAAATTGTACAGGTGAAAAAGTCCGTATGGTTTTTGCCGCTAAATAACATTGATCATAAAAATACCTCTTTTAAATTATTATCATATTTTCGATGATCATTTTAAAAATAATATTTTAGCGCGCATTTTAAGATTAAGCTGTTCTATTCCAAATTCCGATCCGTTCTGTTTGATGACAACCGATTTCAGTACAACTTGGCAGACTATACTATATGTGTGATTCCATGAACTTTTGAGGTCGGTGATTTAAAAAAGAAGACGCTCAATTTTATATATTTTTTTTTTAATTTTTTATAATATCAAGTGACGGGACAAACAAGTCGTGCCCCTGACGGTAAGCTACACTCTTGTCCAGTGAATGCAGTTGCAGTGCCACTCAGAGCTTCAAATCGCAAAAATCTGAGCGGCACTATCTCTGAGCCCGTCACTCTGAGACATAAGTTGACAAGTCCCATGTGAATGTATTTTCAGCAGCACCTTACACTTCAAAACTGGAACACAGCAATGCTGACATTACCGCTTTATTTTTGTAATTTATTATATTTTATATATTTACATTTTATCGTATTTTATTGACTATCAGGTGGAACAACTGGAAGAACGTGTAGCAGCAGCATCAATGCAAGTGAAAGGCTGGCGGCCTTCAACCCTTGCCCTTCCTGAAGACGCGACTAGCGCAGAAATAGTGGCCCGGGCAAGACATAAGCTATCAGCGGTAGAGGCGCACATTGAGAGGCGCTACCTTAAACCGCCTCTGGTGCAAAGGTATGCTAGGTAATGAGAATATGAACTTTTACTTCTTTTGGGTTTTGTTTTGGTGGTGGCTTTTTACTATTTGTGTTAAATAGTGATTAGATTGAGTCCGAAAACACGATCGAGCTTCTCCATGAATAATATATATGTATATATAGAATACACACAACTTTTCACCTCACTCTAGCGAGGACAATGATAGATGAAAGTAAAATAGTTGAACTGCATCAAATCAGTTTTAACACGACTAAACGCGTAGTGAACGTGTCATTGTGTTTTTTTTCATCGAAAGAAAAAGTTAGGTGTACCACACTCCATCGTCACGTTCAAATTACAAAAACCTTTTCCATGCTAACGTGGAAAATGTTTTTGCTCGCAGATTTCTAATGAGAAAGAAAGCCTTTCCGAGTTAGTGAGGTGAAAAACAAATTATTCTATTCATTCCTACATTAATTTTGTTCATAGATTTTAACGGCTTGACGTTATATACCTATAATGTTGCTTATGTTTTTTTTAGCGTTTGAAAGTTTTTGCTTAATTACATTTTGTACATTTTGGATTAAGTAAAGTTACTAAATTAAGATAGTTAGATTAGGTTTATGAATAGTAAATGAAACTATTTTTTCTAGATATATTTTATTTTTTCTAGGTATATATTATTAGATCTAGATCGCGTATATTTGTTTTTTTTTAAACAAACCAACGTTTCGTGTCCTTTACGGGTGCCGTGGTCACGGGTGACTGAGGGGGTAAAGTCATCAACCAGTTATGTCTAACATTAATGTTAGACTACCCAATTTTTTCACCATAGTTACAAAGTTGTTAATTAATTTTTTAATTTGCCAAAAGTCTCAGTCAGCCGTCACCATAGAACCAGAAAAGGGCCCGAAACGTTGATTTGTTAGAAAAAACAAATATATGCGACTCAATTCCAAATTAAAGTCAAATAATCATTTCGACTCATCCGAAGAACAGAGTCCGATGTGATTATATATCGAAAAGAGAATACGTTACGAGATAAATTTCGTTGTTCAAACTAAGGCCTATGTAAGGGTGTTTTGAGAATTCATATATCTTATTTCGTTTCGGAAATATAAAACCGAACAACGGACATCCATAGCGAAGAAGAACGAGCGAAATCGACTCATCCGAAGAACAGAGCCAGATGTGATTATACAGGCTGTATATTTGAAACTGAGACATACTTATAGAGTGCGTTATATTCCTGATTCTGAACCCAAAAAAATAATAAACTAATGAACTTGAACTTTACAAAAAAATATTTTTTTATTTTTTTTATCGACTACTGCTTGTGAACAACATTACCTTTCGAAATCCATGCACACCACTATTATTGCTCCAACGGACGCAGCGGCGAGAGGCGCGGCGGCACGGCGGCGAAAAACAAAGCACAGGTCGGCACCGTTTGCAGAGACAGTGTACGCGCGACCTTGGCCTAGCGAAGACACGTAAATTATTTGTACTTCCGCACGCCCGCCGGAACTGCGCTGCGCCGGTGACGAACGCGCCGGCGGCGAACGCGCCACTCGCCTGCAAAATGGATATTTATTCTAACGTCGAATTGACTGAGATGGTGCGACTTTACGCAATAAGTGGTGATAGTGTGAGGCGAGCTATTGAAATATTTCCAAATTGGAGTTTACGCGGAGGAGATGAACAGTGTCGAAGTTGTTGCATGAGAGGATTATCTCAGCATTTTATACTGTGAGACAAAATGTGTTTGTGTTGATAAATTTAAAACAAAATTTACTATGACGTGCTAGACTGTGCATTGTGGAAAACGGTGGACATTTTGAACACTTGCTCCGTACCACGTAAGTGTAAACAAACTAAATAACTGAAAAATCAATCATTGTAAATAATTTGATTTCACATTTTTAACTACGCCAAAAACCCCAATTCTTATTAAATGATAACTTAATTATCTTTTTTGTACGTAAAACATTTCGATGATAGTTCATAAGTAAAAAATAATTAACATAACCTAAAACGTATTCATTTCGATAACAGCTGTTTCGTCATAACATTAATGAATAGGTGAGAGAGAGATGTGAAATCATTGTTGTTGATGCTGTCTCACTCGGCGCTCGCTTGGTAGTATTCCCAATCCACTCGAAATCAAGCGTAAAGGGAATCGGTTTATTCCTACGTACACTCCAAAACAAATTTGTTGATTTATTTTTTGTTCTATCCCATATCCCAATTTTATTTTAGTCATTTTAAGTTGTAACATGATTTACTATGACATGCATGAATATGTCTCACTTTCAAATATACAGCCTGTATAGCGAAAAGAGAATAAGTATAAGTACGTTACGAGAATAATTTCCTTATTCAAACTAAGGCCTACGTAAAGGTGTTTTGAGAATTTATTTACCTTATTTCATTTCGAAAATATAAAATCGAACAACGGTCGATCTGACATCCACAGCGAAGAAGAACGAACGAACGAAAAATGTACTACGTCCTGAGAACAAGTAGTCTTGTACATAGGTCTTTGTTCTACTGATGAGTCGATTTATTCCATAGGTAAAATTTTTACACTTGAAAACTTCATTGTTTAAGCTACTGCTCGTTCACTACGCTGACCTCTCTGGGAAGAACGAGCAAGAAAGTCTAGGGATTGCTCTTTTCAAATGAACTTAAATGCTATGGAATACACTTTGAATCAAATTTGCGTGTAATAGATCCATGTCGTCATTGTCGTCTTTCCGTACGTCTTTTTCTAACACGTAGTCTTCAATTCTTCAATTTAAAATACTTTTAATGTAAATTTCAAACTTTCAGATAATTTTAATATATGCTCTGGAATATTATTGTGAAAACGTGTACAATTCCGGAATCGTAGTACCATGACCATGAGTATGAACTTACTTCTAAGGTTAATATTATGGATATCTACTTTTTCATCAAAATTTTGTTATTCGAACAAATAGTTTCATTTTCTATATGTAACAATCGCGAAAAATTAAGAACTCGGTAGGTTTATGAAATCGAAATAATTCTGTAAATAAATATTTCCCTTTCAGCACCACTGAGGCGGCCATAGGTGCAGCGTTACAAGGAGAACACGGAAATTCCACGGCGCCGTCACCGCAGAACTCTGATGTTAGTGAAGGAAAAGGTAATGTCCTATGTAAATTAGACAAATGTTCGTTTTGCCATAGTATAAAGCCGGGTACTCATTAGCGAGCTGCATCGAGTATATAACCAGAAATAGAGACGAAATGTCATTTAATTTTGCCAAATCATTACGGTGACACTTGCGCTCCGATTGGTCAGCCCGAATTCGAAACAATTGGCGGGTGTTGTCAATTGTTTCACTTCAAATCGACCAGTTTTTGAGCTTTGCTATAATTGACGAAAATTAAAAAATTACATATTTAATGTTTAATTATAGATGAAATGTGATTCCGTTTGTTTTGTAATTAGGTGTTTTACTGTTTTTCCCACACCACCGAATAAAACAGCCTCCATTATTATAGATATTATCTTTATTACAATAAATACAGAATATTTTTGGAATATACGGAGACGGACACACAGGCCAGTTGTTGGCGCTGTACTATTTCAGCTTTCTAATTTGTGATTTCATGTTCATTCCATTAAAAAGTGATGTAAGACCCATTTGCCTGATGAGTTCCTGGCAGGAACGAATGGCCTTTATTTCGTCTCTATTTCTGGTTATATGATAATAACGCACACACTCAACATAACCCCGCACTAGGGAAACCCTGTGTCGCGGATACCATGGACACACACATAGACAACCACAAATAACACCCAAATTCACGAGGGAAATAAATGCAGGTCATACAAATATTTCTTCCGGCCCCAGAATCGAACCTGGGACCTCTGCGTGGCAGCCCGGCATGATAAAAAAATACCTTCGAAATTCAGACTTTATATTATACATAAATCGATTTGGCACTGTTATTTTTTTAAATTATATCAAGTGACGGAACGAAAAAGTCGTACGCCTCATGGTACACTACACGTCTGTCCATAACAGTTGCAGTGCCACTCAGAGCTTTAAATCACAAACATCTGAGGAACACTGCCACTGCGCCCGTCACCCTGAGACATAAGTTGACAAGTCCCATGTGCCTGTAATTTCACCAGCATCCTTACCCTTCAGAACCGGAACACAGTAATGCTGACATTACTGCTAGGCGGCAGAAACAGGTAAGGTGGCAGTACTTCCCTGGACACACTCTTTCACAAGGGGCTCTACTACTGCGTTGCTACAATAATGATTTCTTTATCTACAGATAGCAAAGGCATAGCGCGTGGTCTGGCAACGTGGCGGGAGGCGCTCTCTCGCTGCAACACAAGCGCACAACTTGCTATGTTACTGCAAGCCCTCGAAAGTGCAGTGGCATGGGATAAAAGCATTATGAAAGCGGTAAGTTGTATGCCATAGTACAGAATACAACCATTAGAGCAGAAATGTCATTCTTTGTTAGTACTTTTTCATAATACTCAAGAGTTGACCCAACCTCAAATGGCTTTGATTGATTATAACAGTGAAACTACCTGACTAACACGCATAACAATGAAAATGTTGAATCAGTCACTATGGAAAACATATATATTAAAATTGAGGACATACATTGATGAGGTGTGAAAACACGATTCCTAAAAGTTTTTACGATAGAAAAAAAAAAACTTAACTTACCACGAAATTTGACAAGAAAGCAGCTGCATCTATAGGTACTGTACGGTTAATACCGCACATTAAGTATGTTACCGCGTCAGCATTTTTATATTTTTATGTTTAGTTATAATTTCTGCACATTTGCAATCAAGGCATTGTCATAAGCAAGCGCGTATTTTATTTTGTAATCAAGTAAACGAAATAAATACCATTTTTAAGATCAACAAGGATTCTTTATTTATCAACATTATTATCAAGATAGTTTGTGTAGCAAGAACAAGACGCGAACAGGTACTTTACATATACCAATGATTGTTTTTATATCAACTGAGCTAAATAGACCATGTGTACTATACGATATACATTTTTCAAATGGCTTCGATTTCGTTTGTAAAAAAATAAATTCTGAAATAAAGCCAGTGCCGCTCGACCCAAGCAAAATGAACCGTAATAATACGGGAAAAAATTGAATTTGAGCTGAGGTAGTACAGACTCTTAATGGCGAATTTCTATTCGTGACATTTGCCATTTATTAGAGTCAAATCACTTCTTTATCAATGTTGTAATTTTTACAAACATGACACTAGAGAATTCCTTAAAAGGACACCGCGAAGAAGAATTTCACGGTTTGACATTACTGCTCTGAAGTACGTATAGTCGGATATTTAAACTTCATAATCTTGATCCTAATTTAAAAGAATCGCTTTCGGACTAGTGTTGACTGCATGGCAATTTTTATTATATTTAATTATTTAATTTTTTTTTATAATACAACATTATTTAATTGATATTCGATTTGTGTATCGTGAAATATTATTTAATAATTAAACTTGATTAAAATTGACAGGGAAATTATATAGGCCGTGATCACTAGTCCGAGAATGACCGGAATATGAAATCTTAAATGCTTTGTATTCATTATATTTGCTGCCTTATTTGCATGAATTTAAATAAAGGAAGTAATATAGTGAACATGCTTAATATAGAAGATAAGAAACATAGAGTTTCTAATATACCTAATAATATTCAGCCTGTGTAAAACCTTTTGTGGGAAAATTGCGTCTATTTTTTTTGTGAGTTACAAAGATCATACGCAGAGTATTTTATGTACTTTGGTTTCAAGTGATACGCTTAAAGTGGATAATACCTCTCTCTTAGAACAAAATATTTTAAGACAAAAATAGTTTTATTTTTACTTACAATTACAATATGTTTCTTCCAAGGCTCAATTTATATTGTGGCGGAATGGAATGAAAGCGAATTTTTATAACGATATTGTTGTACATAGCATAATGAAAATAATTAAGTGTCACTGTAATCTCATGGTACGGGCACAGTTGTCAAAATATAACGTGGTACATTGGTGTTTTCGAATAGAAGCAATTACCCCATGAATTCCATTTTCCTCGTTTTACCATAGTATAATAACACAAATAGTCCAACTGCTGTTTTTCGGCGCTTCAATGCCTAGAGCTCGTCCAGAGAAGTAGACACCTTACATATTTCCAAGCGCCAAGCAGTAATGTGAGCTTTATTGCGTTCTGATTTTGAAGGTGAAATCACAGACATAAAGTCGGAAACAGTGCACAAAATAAATAATACTTTATTAAATTTGACCAACTTCGGCTTTCCCGATTTTTTTCGTTCCATACAATAAAATGATCCCTTTATAAAACTGAGTCGATTAGCACTAAATAAATTTTGATCAATTTTATTCTTTTTTATAAACAACTCACACTTGATCAAATTGACTATACAATTGACTGTACCAAAATTGTTTTCACAAAAAAAGATTTAATGGTTCCTAAAACAGTTTCCTTGTATCTTCTATGATTTCGGATTTTCCCATACTGTCCCATTAAAAAATACACTCTGCGACGCGACTCGCGCTATTCGATGCGCGTGTACTGCGAGATTATGCAAATGTGTGCATCCGTACGCGCCGAGCACACAGACAAGCCGAGCTGCTACGCTTTTTATGGAGTCTACACAACTGGTCTTATTATACTATGGTTTTACTAATTATACTAATTCCATGAAGTAAAAAGAAACAATTTAATGAATTCGACGTTTGTTAGGGTAAAGAACAATTCAACTCATCCGAAGAACAGAGTCTGATGTGATTATATAGCGAAAAGAGAGTAAGTAAGTTACGAGAATAATTTCGTTATTCAAACTAAGGCCCGTGTAAAGGTGTTTTGAGAATTTATACAATATCTTATTTCATTTCGGAAAAATGAAATCGAACAACGGTCTATCTGACATCCACAGCGAAGAAGAACGATCGAAATGTACTACGTCCTGAGAACAAGCAGTCTTGCGCATAGATCTTTATTCTACGGATGAGTAGAATTACTCGTTAAGTTTGGCATTATCATATATAATTCCAGGTATATATTGTCGCTTTCGTTCACGCGATAGATTCCATAAGATTGTTTCTTCCTATTATACTGGGTTATTTGTAAAGTACTTACAACCGCGGAGAACTGTATCACTGACATCAGCTTTTGTTTCATGATTTTTGTTAATTTATCATAGTTTCCTTTAGTACAAAAATAAAAGTGCTGAAATGGACCGCACTAAACGGTGATAACTCTGTGTGGTAGCAAAAGACAGCGCCAAATAACCAAATATTTTTTATAAATGACAGCACGCCGGAGGCTTACTACCAAAAACTTACTAAGCATTATTTATAAAAAACAGTGATAGGCATAACCTTAATATTAGAAACTAAAATAAACTTACGACCTCTATGCTCAGACTTGATAAAGTTGCTCGTCATTTGTAGGGCACTGTATACGTTTTTATAATAAAATTCTAGATTATGATTTCATAACAGAGATGTTGGTATTTTACAAATAAATAACCTTGTATATACAGTGTGGTGACTGTACTATACCTTAAAACATTTTACTAGCTTTATTATCCCCACATCCATCACGCCTCACTCTTAAGGTCCTGAATCTTCACTAACGCAATTGGGAGGCAGGCGTGATTGTAATTATAAAAATTAATTTAAAAAATCAGAAATTAAACTAATGACTTACAATAGGGTATCTGTCCCCAGAACTGCCAGTTCTGCCTGTCTGGTGACAACGAAGACCAGTTGCTGCTATGTGACGGGTGTGACAAGGGCTATCACACTTACTGCTTCAAGCCAAGGATGGACAAGATACCTGAGGGCGATTGGTGAGTAATGACTTTTTGTCGTGCCGGGTATTTTTTTAGTTCTATTTTTTTTTTATAAAAAATAAGTGCGCATTTGACCTTCATCTTACCAGGTGGAAAGTGACGATGAGGTCGACGATGTAGCATGCACACCTAAATAATGCCTATTCACTTTCGCCTTGAAAGGGTCCAAGTTATAACTTTCAGGGAACAAGTCTGCAGGCAGGGAATTCCACTCCATAGCCTTTCGCCATATAAAAAGGAAGGTGGAAGCGTAACGCTTCGTGCGAATCTTTGGAATATCCATAACATATGGGTGGAATCCCAGCCTATGCCTAGTCCCCCGATGATGGAAAGGGGAAGACGGAATCAAATTATGCAATTCCGTTTAATACTCTCCGTGATATATCCTGTAGAATACCAATAAGTAGGCAACTTTACGGCGGTGTTCAAGGTTCTGCAGCTTCGCCACCTATAAGCCTCTTGACACGTTTGTCGATTGAGTCCAGTTGAGGCCAGTTGGTATTTAGCAGAGCCATCCCGTAAGTGACAGCAGTACTCGATACACGACCGGACTTGTGCGTGGTATTGCTGAAGCAACTGTCCCGGTGTGAAGTAATGCCTCACCTTGGAAAGGATGCCAAACTTCCTGGCTGCATTTTTTTTCCATGGATTCAATATATCTGCCGAAGTTGAGATTGGGCGAAAGGTCCATTGCAAGTAGCTTGCGACGATCGGCTATTCTATTTGTGGCAGTATTAACATCATTTCTATATGTGACTAAATGTAAAACATCGAAGTGATGACCAATAATCGGAATAGGGTGTTCCAAACGAGTAGATAAATGTCTACATACAAGATACAAGGTGTGATGTGGAGTGGTTACAACCACTAAATATTAATGAATAAGGAATGAACACGGTTGACAACCGTGACCATGGGACCTGTAAAGGGCCCGAAACGTCGGTTTGTTCGAAAAAACAAATATACGCGATTTAAATCCGGAAAAATAGTGTCATTCCTATGTGTAACAGTCGCGAAAACCTAAGAACTCGATATTAATGAATAACTTTTTCGGATTCCCGATTTCCAGACATTTTTTGGAAGCAACAAGCAAAAGCTTATTTTAATTAGTGCGGATATTGTAGTTGTTTACTTTGGTGAAAGGTTAGTTATCTACTGCATTTTTTTAACGTGATAACACTGGAAATACTTTTAAATCCTTGATCTGCTTTTTTTTATAATGTCAAGTGACGGAACGAACAAGTCGTGCGCCTGATGGTAAGTTACACGCCTGTCCAAAACAGTTGCAGTGTCCGAACAGCCCCGGCCGAACTCTTTCACAGGGAGCTCTACTGCTTCCTAAGTGAATAGTTTTATCTTACGATGCAGATGCAGTTTTAAACCACTCTATGTGGACATTTATCTACTAATTTGTAACACCCTATTCCGCCCATTGGCGATGATGTCACAACATTGCCAGAGAAGCTACAGTTTAGGTGGGGAAACCAAAGTTAGCAATATAACTGCCTCCGTGGCTGAACGGTTATCATGCCACGGAGAGGTCCCAGGTTCGATTCCCGGGCCGGGAGAAATATTTGTATGGCCTACATTTATTTAATTTCGTGAGTTTGGTTGTCTATGTGTGTGTTCATGGCACCCGCGACACAGGGTTTCCCTAGTGCGGGGCTATGTTGAGTGTGTGCGTTATTATTATTTATAAATTAAGTAATTGTCATAAAGCCATACGTAATCACTCGTTAAAAGAGCATTTATCACACGAAAGTCGTAAAAATAATACTAAATTCATGAAACAAATTACGTTTATCGATGGGTCCTAAGTATAAGGGCCAAACTAACAATTTGATCATTTTCACTTTTTTGTGGGAAATGCTTAATTTTATAATGTTTGTTTGTTTGAATAAACAAATATACGCGATTTAAATGCGGAAAAATAGTTTCATTTCCTATGTGTAACAATCGCGAAAACCTAAGAACTCGATAAATGAAGCATTGTTGTTAAATTGTTAGTTTGGCCCTTATTCTTAAGACCCATCGATAAACGTAATTTGTTGCATGTATTTTAATTTGTTTTGTAATTTGTTAACTAACAATTTAATCGAGTTCTTAGGTTTTCGCGATTGTTACACATAGGAAATGAAACTATTTTTCCGGATTTAAATCGCGTATATTTGTTTTTTCAAACAAACCGACGTTTCGGGCCCTTTACAGGTCCCATGGTCAC